AATATGGAATTACAGAAAGTCAGTAATACATAGAAAACAAACCATATAAGAAGAAGTATGCAGCAACTGTGGAATTAATTGGTCAGCTTTCTAGCTGTGTCCACTGTTTTGTGAAACATGATCCTTGCCAGCTGTTCCTATCCAACATCCTCTGACTGTACTCAATTGGTAATTGCTTTGGACAATATAGACATGGCCCTAAATTGTTGTGGACTTGGGCTAATGCTGCTTACATTAGGTTAATTTGGTCCAAAAATTGCAGGAGAATTTGAAGGACCAAACACAAGATGCTGAGTGAGCCAGATGCTGAGTGAGCCAGTCCCCAGCTGGTTTTGATTGGTAAATAAAGTTGCTGGTGGCCAATGGTTGGTCAGGGAGAAAGAGATGCAACTTTAAGATTCTCACCAGGGGACTGAGGAAGAGCAGGAAAAGGATAACTGCAGTGCAGGAGGAGGAGAGTTGATGCCATGCCTGAAAGGTGCCTAGCAGAGAACATAGCCTTCATGGAGGTGCTGGGTAAACGCGTCCAAGTGAGCTGCAGGTCTGGGTTAGGCAGCCAGGATAGAATATAGATTTTAGTAACTGATGAGTTTGGATTATTGGAAAATACATCAGACATGTTGAGGTTAGGAGGTGGATTAGCCATTGAGTTGTTTAAGGCACATTAAAATATAAAGGCTGTATTTGTGACTTTCATTCAGGATCCCATAATGTTAGGATGGATATCAAGGAGTGCTGCTACCAGGATGATGTAAGTAGAGATTTTTGAGTTCATCAACAATAAATAGAAAAATAAAGGAATGAATTTGAAAGTGGAGTTAACAATACACACATACAAATTACAAGAAAGTATGAATGAAGTAACTTCTATTAAATCAATCCAATGTTGTTCACATTGTATTGCTTCCAGATACAAAATTTATATATATTTCCTTTTCTTTATCATTTGGAATTTGTGTATGTCACAAACAATGTTCCAGAGATCACTTGATGTAAAATAATCACTTGTATGCACCTACTTGAAAAGTTATGTGTGCAAAATCACTGATGATACAAAGCTTTGCTATATAAAGCATTGTTTTATCAGATGTGACAATTTACAATGTACCTGTAATTTAGTAGATTTCATTGAATATAGAAGTAACTACTGTTCAGAATCTTTCAATGTACATGTTGGAAAAAGGGTAGCATACACTCCTTTTTGAGCAAACATACTGGTTGGAAGATCTTGATTCACTTCTCATAAACATTAAGGCACTCAAAATTGGAAAAATCTCAAAGATGATTGCCAATCTGTTCACAGTGAAGGACTAGAAATTATTCATGAGAATACATAAAAGGATGCAGGTGCATGTGTTAGAGCAGACAGCTTCTTTCTTTGGTGCTTTCTATTTTTCACTGCAAGAAGCTTTTCTTCTGTAAATACACTGCTGTTGGGCTGCTATTATTATTAGTATTATGATGATGATGATGATGACTATGAGTGTTTTTCTTTCATAATTGTTTCCCAGTGTGCTTTCCTAAAAGTTTCCATGGTTTCAATGACCTCAGTACACTACTTGAGTTGCTCAGATATAAACAAGTTAGTGTGTAAATACATGGATGGTCATAAGGATACAGGTTAAGCTAGTTCTTTAAATCTGAGGGAAGTAGAGGAAAGCATGGACACATATGTAGGAAGATTTGAGGCCATGGCTTCCTGAGTCTGTGTAAACACATCCACAACTAAAACATCAAGTAGCATTTAGATATCTTACAATTATAGATTTCACATATCTCACCATTACTTTTAGGATACAAGTATGGGATACTTCATAAATACATGAATGTAATGACTTGACATAAATGTGTGTTGTAACATAGATTGACATAGTTTTGTAGGCACTACAATCTGGAAATACAATACAGGATTTTAAGGAGAGTTGCCAAGTGTTCAGTGCAATTTACACTACCATAATCATTGCATCAGATTTTGATAATGCTCATGTATTGGGAAGACAGTTCACTGCTGATTTGACTGCACACTCTTGTCAAGATGTTCTCCTAGTGGAGACATTTGACCCTATGATTAATATTCAGTGTTATGTGCTGTGTCATGGATATAATTGAGAGGTAACAAGTAATAGAAATAGTGAGAGAGTTAAAACAAATCTTAGAGTGTGAGGGCTGCCAACCTGAGAGAGGCAATGACAGATGTCAGTACCCAGATCAACACTACACTTTTGAAATATATTGGACTGTATAATTTCATTTAAAGAAAAGATTAAACTGCTACTAAGAAATTCAATGTACTGACTGTGAGCATTATTCTGCCATCTATTTTATGTAGAAGATGATATTTTTATTTTAATTAAGATGCAATTATATTTCTCTTCTTTCTTCCTTCAACCCATTCAGTGTCCCCCCTGACTCAGCGCCTCTCAAATTGAAGACCTCATTTCATTATTACTACAACCTCTCCACATACATTTGCATTAAAATATATAAGTAAAACCTAGTAAGTGAATTTTGTGTTACCAGTATGTTGGTAATTTTAAGGCTTACATTAAGTACTTTATCCTTGGGGATTCCTTATTCTCACTCCATCTCTCTTAATTGTTTTGAACAAACTGTAAAAAAAAAGACAAGACAGAGCTATTGTAACTGGAGTGCATTCATAACTATACAAAATCTATGAATGATAGATTTTTAAAAAAAATCCAGAAAGTGTTTGTTTACCTACCACACACTCATATTTGAAAACCCATGTGTCACTTCCCGTCTCTGACATTTTATACTGAAAAGTACACACATTGATTTTATCAACCATTCTCTACAGGAAAAAGATGCATAAGATTGATACATTCTCAAAAAAACTAAAATAACTTATATCATAGGTTTTGAAGATGAAGGAGCATGCTGATTAATCTGCACAGGTACAGTGAGGACAGGAGAGTAGATGTGATCAAAGTCACTGGGAACATGGTTCAGAACTCACATGTAAAACCAGTAGTTAGACGAAAGTGGAATCTGTAATGTTTCCTCCAGGATAACCTCCTAAATGACACCAAGCTTCCAATATATGGTGTCTCTCCAAGATGTTTCTTTCTTTTTCTTTGTTTTAGAATTATTTATTTATTTAACACATGTGTGCCAACTTTAGCTGTCTTCAGACAATCAAGAGGGTTCATCAATCCAATTACACATGATTGTAAGCTGCAATGTAGTTGCTGGGAATTGAACTCAGGACCTCTGGAAGAGCAGTCAGTGCTCTTTACCACTGAGCCATCTCTCCAGCTCCTGAAAACAAAGTATTCTTAAAACTTATTTTGATGATTTTTTTTTGAGTGTTTGTCTATTTTATTTCTGTGTTCAATATACATAGGATTATTGCATTAGTAATACATAAATAATTAAATAATTAGACCCCTAAAATTCATACAACACATTTAGCTATTTCCTTTTATTTATTTTAGTGGAATTCCTGTCATTTAATCAACTTCAAGTAAGTATGTTAGTTTTATGGTAAAATAGAATTTTTTTTTAATTTTTTTATTGGATGTTTTATTTACATTTCATATGTTGTCCCCTTACCCCATCCCCCACCCACCCAGGAACCCCCAATCCCCTCACACCTCCTCCTTCTTCTTTGTGGATGTAACCTCTATCTACCCCCCCACTCCCACCTCCCCACCCTCAAAACTCCCACCCCCTGGGGCGTCCAGCCTTCATGAGGTCAAGGATCTCATCTTCCACCTGTGCCCAGCAGGGCCCTCCACTCTTATATATTCAGCTAAGGCCCTGGATCCCTCCATAAGTGCTCCCAGGCTGGTGGTTAAATTTTATAAACAATGTTCAGTGCCTGGGGATTCCAGAAGAGGACATTGCACCCTGGAATCTAGAGTCATACCCTGTGGTTAACTCATGTGTGGAGGTGTTTGGACTTCAATGTTTCTCTATGTGAGAGGAGTGCACATTCCCAACTACTGATCGTTCTTCCTAGAACTAAAGAGATCAGTGTCCATGTTGATTCTTTCATATTCATAGAGGTGAATTCTATCAGCAATGTGTAGAAACATACAAACAATTTATATGAAACATAAGAAATTGAAAAAGTCAAATATAAATTATATATTCCAAAAAACATTTTGTTTGTGAAATGAAAGGGTTTAAAATGATGTGCACATTAATGTCAAACTTTCCCCCATGTTTTTGTCTGATACAGGAGGGGATGGAGAAGGCATGTTTGAGCCTCATTACATTACTTTTTATTTTGAAAATGTATGCAGATCTATGTCCAAAGTTGAAAAATAAACTTGAGCCATACGTTGGCACTTGTATATTGAAATGTGTTATAGATATATGCCTGCACTTAAACTATGAGTATAACAAAGGAAGGAAGACACAATGTCACATATCCACAAGGAGAACGGAAAGTGCAGAGTGTAATTCTACATTCCATTTTTTAAAAAATGGGGTAGAAAGTAGAATGCAAAAACTCAAGGATACAAAATACAAGTACAGAAACCAATAAATGCTTAATGTAATGTCAACCAAAAAATGTGAAAACACAACACCAAGAGCACACTGAACTTGAAACCTAAAACTTGCCAGGCAATGGTGGCACACACTTTTAATCCCAGCACTTGGGAGGCAGAGGCAGGTGGATTTCTGAGTTCAAGGCCAATCTGGTCTACAGAGTGAGTTCCAAGACAGCCAGGGCTACACAGAGAAACCCTGTATCGAAAAACCAAAAAAAAAAAAAAAAAAAAAAAAACAACTAAAACTTACCTAGTTTTTCATTAGTCTTTGTAATTTAATTCAGTTACACTTGCATACAAAATGGCACGCACAATTACATTTGTGTATCCATGTATATGTGTGTGTGAACACATTTACCTGCATGCACACTGATACCTTGCTTACCTGCAGAAGCCTCTCCAATGCCATGATATTACTATAATTATGCTCAAAGTTCTGTCAGAATGAATGAATAACCATGAAAATCTGACAAGAAGCTCTCAATTCTGTTCTTGGTCAGAAGGCTTGGGGAAGTGTCTATTCCTTTTCAAGTAACTGGATGCCCAATACTCTTGGCTCATGAGAAGAAAGGGACAAACAGTGGGGAAAAGCAGAGCGGACATTTCAGAAAAATTTACCAGAGACCAGCTGGGATTATACGTGATGGATACAAATGATTGACAAAGGGAAGAAATTGTGTAAAAGGAGACAAAAGTACTGACCAGGAGAAGGATGGTTTTAGTGGCTCTGGACTCAGGGGAGGATCCAGAAGAAACATTGGTTCTTGACATGTATTTCATCATCTGCTTGTGCCTGTACAGTGTGAGAACCATGGAGCCACTGGCCCATAGCATGAGCCCCAGCAAAACTATATCAGGACCTGATAGTAATAGTGCATTAAGGATGTCACTGGTTGGATCTTGCCGGACAGAAGAGCAGTATATAAAAGCTTTACGGTTTGTGGTGCTTTCATTGTCATGTTTTGCCCTCATGTGGACAAAAAATATGCTGCTTATAAATAAATGAACTACCAAGTTGAGGTACAAGGAGAAACAAATGCACTTGTGTGTTCTTACCATAAAATATGAATACCTGGATTTCCTGTAGCTGATGATTACAGCCTGAAACACACTAAGAAAAGAGGTGCTGCCAATACAAGCACCCCTAGCTACTCTGTGTATAGAAGGAACTAATTTGCATCCAATATCATTGAAAATGTCTTTAAACCCAAAAAAGGATATTGTCTTGGGCACACCTTTACACAGTACAGTTAAGATATTGGCTACAATCAAGTGCATCAGAATCCATTCAGTAGACCTTAACCTATATCTTGTTAGGTAAATATATATATAGTGGTATAGAAGAATAAAATTCCCTAGAACTCCACTTATAGTCAGAGAGAAGAAAGTCATTCCTAGAAGCAACTCATTGGTTTCCATGTTGCCCATTCTTGGTCTCAAGCTGAGGACCCTGTATGGCAAGGTGAAGCTGTAGACACAGTCACCATTCTCTCTTCCCACTGAATTCACTAGATATATTCAACATGTAGGCTATCTACCACTTTGGCATAATTTCTACACATAAAAGTGATTGAATGAGACCTCAAAGCATTTGGATATCTCTAGGTTCACACTTTGTGAAATGTGTGAAAAACTAACAATGCCTCATTAACAGGACAAGCAGAAAAATATCTGTAAGAGTACTGGCTCATGTCTGAAATAAAGCAATAACCCCACCAAATCAACTAGCCAGTATTCACATGGCATACATTTAACTCTGGGAAATAAACACAAATCCATGTAAAGTAAAGTAATAGGGCAACCAAGTTATTATTAAGAGAAGATCACATATTAACTTTGTATTACCAAGTGCTGTGACATTATGATTAAGGATACAACAGTTGACTTTTGTAATTTTAGGCTATATTACCCACCAGCATTGTGATGATATTAGCTTCAAACATTAACACAGGTGAGAAAAGATTAGTACAACAATAGACATTAATGTTTAAAGTATTTAGGTTCAGAGGGAAAGTTTGTAGTGAGAAAACAATATTCTACAGAACTCGTCTATGAGGCCAGTTTCTCTGCCTTTAATTTCCTATACAAGTAATAAGGAATCTTATATTTAATGACAATGTATTCCCTATATGCAAAAATATTTAAATCTAGTAGTTAAAGTGAGAAAGAAATAAATGCCTTCGTTTATAAGACCTTTCTATATGCACAGAAAAAAATGCTAGAATTCATTCAATTACTATAATTTTAAACTGATAGGAAATCTATTTTCATTAATCACATTCTCACTCTGGAACAGAGGAAAAAGTTTTGTTCCAATGAGGCCATCATTGATGTGCAATTCCTTGTAGAACTGATTGCTTTCTGGAACATACTTCACTCATTCCTTCAAACCTGAAGTAATAACAATTGTACCTGTAGAAGTCCTGAAAATGTACTATGCATATTACGTAGAATATCAGGTTTAACTGTGAGTTTACTGTCAGGGTACTTATATTTTAGTCTATTTTGTCTATAAAAATTATTTACAAATATTTCACAAAATAATTTATACATTTCCAAGTGCATAATGAAAGAATCTCTGCCACAAATATCGTGTGAATGAATCCTCCATCCAGACTTATGATCTAATCCATCGTTGTACAGAGTCACCACTGTGCAGAACAGCACAAAGAAAACTAAAACTAATAAACTTACTACAAAGATGTGCAGTGTCACTGACCTCAACGACCATCCTTTTCAGGTGTCCTAGTGAAATCTTTCATAAGGGAAAATGATTTCTTTCAGACAGGCATTTTTTTTTTTTAGGTTTTTCGAGACAGGGTTTCTCTTTATAGTCCTGGCTGTCCTGGAACTCACTCTGTAGACAAGGCTGGCTCCAAACTCAGAAATCCACCTGCCTCTGCCTCCCAAGTGCTGGGATTAAAGGCATGTGCCACCACTGCCCGTATCAGACAAACATTCTTAAGCACCAGATTCTTAACGAGTATGACAGCACAGATGGCACTGACAGTGAGGAATGGGCCAGGTTAGAAGTGGAATGCAGTGCTTGTAGCATTCATTTCTATCTGATTTCCATCCTGAGGAGTTTCTCTGTGTCTTATGTAGCTTTGCTTTTCATCCAGACTCAGTGCCATGTCTGAATGTCTGTTAGGATTACTTACCAAGACTCATATATTTCATCTTCTCTGCTCTCAGACTGCAGTCTGTTCCACTTTCTGCACCATATCTCTTCCTGGGATGCTGATATCAGTGCCCTGGCCACATAGTTCAAAAAGTCATCTGAAGGGAGGTACCAGGGCCTGAGATATGGATCTGTGATTCTGTGACCTCATCTCCCCTCAGACTTGCAATTATTTCACTTGAAGTAGCAATTGATAATCTATGTAGGCTTGACCAGGCAATAAATATGCTCTGAACTTTTCTCCCCTGTTGACAGTTCTCAACAAAGAAGTACAACTCTTGCTATCATGTGTTAAGGGAATATTTTGAAGTCAAGAATAGTTTTTATCTGCTCTGTTTTCTAGAGGCCATGGGATTTCACCTTCATGTTTCAGGAGATAATGTGGACCATGTGATGAGTGTAATTGAGCTATGTGTGTGCTTTGTAGCTGATGGTTGTCTGAGATGTTCTGCACACAAATCTTAGTTTACCCTCCTTATCTCTGGGTAAGCCAATATGTAGAATAGAAATTCAGTTTGCAATCCCAGAAGCAATGGAGGAGTGTTCTTTCTCCACAGCCTTCCCAACATGTGTTGTCACCTGGGCTTCTCATCTTAACCATTCTGACTGTTGTAAGGTGGATTCTCACAGGGTCATTTTGATTTGCACTTCTCTGCTCACTCAGGACTTTGAACATTTTTTTGGGTGCTTCTCGGCCATTTGAGATTCCTCTGCTATGAAATCTAGGTTTAGTTCTATACCTCATTGTTTTATCTTCATTTTTTTTGCTTGGTTTTTTGGTGGTTAGCTCCTTGTGTTCTCTATATTAGCCGTCTATCAGATATGGGGTTAGTGAAGTTTTTTTCCAAATCTATAGGTTGATGATTTGTCTCACTGACTATGTCCTTTGCCTTACAGAAACTTTACAGTTTAATGAGGGCCCATTAATCAATTTTTGATCTTAGATCATGGGCCATTAGAGTTCTCTTCAGGAATTTTCACCCTGTGCCAATGAGTTCAATGTTCTTTTCCATGATCTCTTCTATTTGCTGTACTCGCTTTTATTTTGAGGTTCTTTATCCACTTTGACTTGAGCTTTGTGCAAGGTGACAAATATGGTTCTATTTTCATTTTTCTAAATACAGACAGTAAGTTAGACCAGAACAATTTATTGAAGATGCATTCTCTTTTCTCTTATATATTCTTGGCATCTTTGTGAAAGATCAAGTGTCCATAATTGTGTGGTTTTATTTCTGGGTCTTCAATTCTATTTCATTGATCAACTTGTCTGTTTCTGTACCAATATCATACACTTTTTAACCACTATTTCTCTGCAGTAACCTTGAGGTCAGATATGGCAATTTTGCAAGCTGTTCTTTTATTGTTTTTGCTATTCTGTTTTTTGTGGTTTATTTGTTTTGTTTTGTTTTGTTTTGTTTGCCTTTCCAGGTGAATTTGCCAATTCGTCCTTCCATATCTTTGAAGATTTGTTTTGTGATTTTGATGGGAAGTACATTGAATCTGTAGATTGTCTGTGGAAGGATGCCCATTTTTACTATGTTAATTCTGCCAATCCATGAGCATGGGAGATCTCTCCATTTTCTGAGATCTTTTTCAATTTTTTCATGAGAAACATAAATTTATTGTCATAGAGTTTGGGAAAAGCTGTTATAAGCTGAGGAATAGGGCAACCCTTAAGTAAAACCAGCAGTTTCAATTAACCAGTATTCCCAAGTTCTCTCAAACAATGGACCACCACCCAGGCAGCATACACCAGCTGATATGAGGCCCCCAACACATGTACAGCAGAGGACACCCAAGTTTGCATTCAGTCAGTGAACATGCACCTAACCCTCAAGAGACTGGAGGCTCCATGGAATTTAGAGGTCTGGTGGGATGGGGGCTGGAGCCTGGGGATAATCTTGTGGAGACAGGATGGGGGGAGCTTAGAGGAGTTATGGTATGTGGAAAAGTTGGAGAGTGGACCAGGAGGGAAATAAAATCTGGAAAATATAAATAAATAAATAAATAAATAAATAAATAAATGTTTAAAAAGAGATTCAGTGGAAAATAGAAATGTTTGATATTCATAAGGAGCACCATAAAATTCATAAATCTAAGAAATGGAACATGCAGAAGCTAGACCCTTGCATATTTAGCCCCAATGTAAAGCTTGGTCTTCAGGTGGATATCATAACAATTGATGTTGTGGATATCTTTGTCTCACTTCTTTAGCATTGTACTCCTTACCCCTACCTAGACTCCATGGATGGTCCTCAGTGGGGGAGACTTCACTTTGTCCTGCTGGAACTAGATGTGCCAGTGTGAAGTAGTACCCAAGAGGGGTTCCCTTTCTTTGAAGAGAAGGAGAGGGGACTATAGGGATATGGACTCTAAGTATGAGTGTAAGAATAGAGGAGGGAGAGTATCTGTGATATGGATAGAAAGTGAATAATTTAAAAAAATAAACTACAAAACAAAAACAAATTAACAGTAATGTTTATTAAATAAATGTAAGTTTCCCAAAATAATTTACACTGGCTATTATTTTATTTACTTATTTGTTTATTTAATTATTTATGTATTTTTCTTGCTTGCTTTTTAAAGCTGGAGCCAATTTTGCAGGTGATATTTAGTGAGAAAGCAATTTTATCACCTTGTTTCGCATTATTAACAAAACTGAACCAAATAGGGCTTAATAAGTGCTACCCTGCATGGATGAACAATTTGTCTACCAGAAATATGAATGGGTTACTGGTTGAAATTTAATTAATGCAAATTTAAATAAAATTTTATTTCAGGTGTTTTTCTTTTTTATATTATACGTTATTTATTTACATTTCAGATGTCATCCCCTTTCTTCTATTTCCCCTCCCTAGAACCCTCCATATCATCCTTCCTCCTCATTTTTGTTTTATACCATTTTAATTACATGCATGTATTGAGGTCAGTTCTAGGTTGATGAACTAGCAATACAATAGATGCAAATAGTCAAGGAACAAGCAAGGCAATAAACAAAATTAGTCAAAGAACAAGCAAGATGTTAAATCCAATTACGTGAACACTCTCGTGCTCACTGTTCCTAAGGGCCTATCATGATGACCAAAATATCTTAGCCTACTTCTCTGTTCTAGCCCAAACTCATTTTCATATCTGAAGTCTAGTTCCTTCTTCTAGCCTAAAATTTAGTTTCCTGTCTGAAATTATTACTTTTTTCTAGCCTTAGATATAGATGTTTATCTGAAATTACTTCTTTATTCAAGCCTAATGTCAGAATTCTGTCTGTAGCCTACTTCCTGGTTTTGAGCCAAGATCATATTCCTGCCAAGCAGCCCATTCCCTT